AACACACACACACACGCAGTTGGTTGAACATTTGAGGTCAAATAACATGACCTCTACTTGGGCTACAGTGAGATGGTCCCAGCCTCCTGACCCTGACAGAGGTCCCTACCTGTGATGAGCCCCCAGCAATCTCATGGTCAGGGTCTGCTTTCCCCAGAGACCCCTGAAAATAATAGTACACCACTCCTGCAAGTAGGTGAAAAAAGACTAGTTAAAACATTTAGAAGAGTGATGCAGTTATCTTTAAATGTCAGTATTTACAATATGCCAGAAATCATATCCTTTAAAACTATTTAAATGTGTGATGAAAGATACTAGGTATTAACTTAAAACGTGTGAGGGGGTAGTTTTTCAAAAGATACGCAAGCAAGTTTGCAGATCATGCTGTGGGACATTATTAGGTTGTATGGGGTTTTCTGGTTTCTCTATGGGTGTCTGGGGGAGGATGCAGGGGGTTTAGAGTGAGACATGAGTTCAAATCCCAGTTTCACTATGAAGGTGCAGAGGGAAGAAAGGGAGAAATAAGGCCAGCCGTGGCTCTGAGCACCGTGGCCAGCCCTGGGCAGCCAGGTACATGGCAGTTTCAGGAGGCCTTTGGGAATCCTGGTGGGGAGCAGCAGACTGGGGTGGCTCTGAGGAGTGAACTTGTTCACTCCTTGAGTCCTGCCATCATCCCCAACTCACCCCAGCACCCAGGCCCTTACCTGCAAGGATGAAGATTTGTACTACATACAGGAACTTGTAGAGCCTGGAAGGAAAGCAGAGCTGAGTGTGAGGCTGGGGTCTCTTGCGCCCTCACCAGTGGGTGTTGGTTTTCTTCCCAGTCCAAGCCCCAAGACCTACTCTTCCAGGGAAGGTCCAATCAATACTTGTGGATGAATAAATCCATCAGCTGTAATGGGGCTCAGCCTGGGCTCCCTGCTGACTAGCCGGCATGACTCTGTGCCTCTGCCTACTTAGAAAGTCAGATGTGGAGCATGGAGCCACAAGAACCCCTGCTCCCCTCCTTTCTTCTCTCCTTCTTTACTTGTTTATATAGGTCCATCTTGCCTCTCCAGCCAGAAGGCAGGGACTCAGCCTTGGCTGGGCATTCACAGTTGTTTATTCAAGTGCTGGATTAGCTCTTCTCCCCACAGCCCTCCAAAGCCCTCTCTACTCTGGACTGACAGATCCCACAACCTGGATTAGAAATAATATTCCATTGTCCATCCTCTTCTTTTAGGACCCCTCCCTTGGGACAAACAGAGCATTTTCGCACTGCTAAGATGATGGCTCCCTGCCTACACACATACACACATACAAAAGCACATCCCACCTGTCAGAACCAGGCCCTCCACTCTGACCCTAAGTCCCAGAGACACTATAACACTCAGGGAAAGGGGAATATAGAATCCTATTTTCCCTTCCTCGTGAGACCAAGTTGGGGGGTTCCCTTTCCTGATCTTTCAGGGCATGGCAACAGGGCCCACTTAAACTTTACCTCTCTCTCTGGCAGCACAGACCAAGTACCATTTTCAGTCTAAGAAGAAAAGATAGGCAACAGTCAATGCATCACACAGGCCCAGGATCCTGGTGTTCCTTTACCCTGTGGCTTGCAGGGAGACTGCAGTGGGCTAGAGGCAGTTAGGGGAACGGCAGGACCTCCACCAGCAAGGTTCATCCAGGGGAAAGCCTGCTGGTCACAGCAGGAGGCCAAACTCAGGATGGAGTGGGCCAGCACTAGGAGCTTAGAAAATGCTCAGGAATTTCTCCTGAGACCTCAGACCCCCAGACAAAAGTTGTCTCAATGTCCTCAGAGTTGGAAAGGTAGGTCCTGGGAAATCAGGATGGAAAAGGGGAGGTGGGGTTGAGAGTGGATTAAGAAAAAAGGTAGAATTCTATTGAATATTTGGTGCAAAATGACCCCAGGTGTAAGCGGCTAAGTATAATAGTAAATAAAAACAATTAAAAACTACCAACAATTTAAAGCATTTTCCGTGTTATGCAGCATTTTTGGGATCATCTTGGGAGCACTGGGAGGAGACTCCCTGGCCTCCGCAAAAGCGCCCTGTCTAGAGGCCTGCCTTCAGTGTTGAGCTGCGTATGAACAGACACACTGTGAAGCCACGGTCCCGGGGGAGATGGCCCTCAGTGTGGCCTCGTAAGGCTCCGTCTCCCAAGTGAGATCCCCGTTCTCCACAGAGACTATTTCAGAATCTCTCTTTAAACCTCTAACCCCTCCTCTGCCTTCCTCACTTTTGGCAGGAACACAGGTACCATCGGATGCACGTTCCCTAGACTTTCTGCTACCAAACTCACCCATCCTCTGCTTCTCACACAGGTCATTTCCTCTTCAGGGGAGGAGGCTGTGCCCCTTCTCTGGGGCCGTCCCCCTCCTGTGATCCATCCACCCGGTATTCTCCAACCGGAGTATCTGGGGGTCTCCTCCCTCACTTGTATATTCAGCCGTCCCTTCTCTTGTGGCTCCTCCTCATCAGCATTTGAACACATTGCCCATGTCTTCCATTAAAAGAAAAAGGCTCCCTTGAACCCATATCCCTTCTCCAGATACTGATCTAATGGTCCCCTACCCTGCACACCAGTCTCCTTGAGAGAGCTGTCCAGGGTACCTGTCTTCACTCCACTCCGCCTCTCCCTCACTCCACAACCCACTTCAATCTGTTTCTGTCCCCCTCAAACTTGGAAATCTCTCTCACCAGGTCACCAATATCCTCCCTGTCACCAAATACAGGGGGCCTTTTTCAGGCCTCAGCTCACTGCATCTCTCTGCAGGACACCCTTCACATCGAATCACCTTCCCTGAGAATACTGCCAGCAACATGTTCAACAGTAAGCTTTTTAGTCATGTATAACTGGGTGTGAGCAGAGTCATCAGGTTTTTTTCTGAGAGAAGGTTTTGAGTGAGAGAAGAAGAGGAGGAAAGGGGAACACTAAGTAGGAGGGATACAGAAAAGGTGGCTAAGAGTCGTAAAGACAAATTTCACCTGCTTGGGTGTTTTACTGAGGGCAGCCTTTTGAAACTGCTTACCAAATCTGCCAACCTTGATGATCTGAGCAGTTTGCAGCACACAGGCAGTATTCACCTTCCCTCAGACTCCAGGACTGAGACTGAGAAGGGCACAGGAGCCCAGCTAAGTCTGGGAGTCCAATCACAGCCCCTCCCTTTCACAAGCTGTGTGGTGTCTGTGTGTGACATCATGTCTTAGGGGGCTTTATGACAGGACAACCTCTCCTACCTTGACAGAGTAGTATGTCATTGCCTCAGGGTGGTTTTAAATCCCCGCGTCAGAGGCAGCACCTTTGTAGGTATCTCTTCAGTTCCATTCAATGCCATGAATGCTGCTTGAGCACCTACAATGTGCCAAAATCTATGCAAATTCCTGTAGGGACACAAAGACACAAAGGTGTGCAAGACTCAGTCTTGTCACATAACACAATACTCTTATTTTTCAAATCAAAAACAAGAACACAGCCTGACTATAAGTGTCATCCATTCGTCTATTCATTCATCCAGTGTCTGCTGAACTTATATCTCGGGCCAGGAATAATGCTGAGAGGATAGAAAGGTAAACAGGACGCAGAGACGGCCCTTAAGGAGATTGAAGACATCAAACAGACATCTTCTGATTCAAGACAATAACTGCTATACCCTCCCCAAAATACTATAAATGTAACAAAATAATAATTACAAAACTATGGTGGTTAAAACTGAGGAATGCCTTAGTTTCACGAACACATGAAATATTTACCAAGATGGATCATATTCTCAACCATAAAACAAGCCTCAATAATTTAAAAAATTAAAGTCATTTAAAGTATGTTCTTTGACCACATGGAATCAAAATAGAAATCAGTAACAGAAAGATCCCTGAGAAATCTCCAAATATTTGGAAACTAAACAACACACCTTTAAATAATATATGGGTGAAATAAACAATCAAAAGGAAAGTTAGAAAGTATTCTGAACTAAATGAAAAGAAAAAAAATCTCAAAATTTGTGGGATGCAGCTAAAACAGTACATAGAAAGAAATTTACAATACTAAAACATCTATATGAGAAAATAAGAAATGCCTCAAATCAAGGACCTCAGTTTCTACTTTAAGAAACTAGAAATGGAGAAGCAAATAAAAGCCAAAGTAATCACAAGAAGGGAAATTTTAAAATTCAAAGTGGAAAGAAATGAGATAGGAAACAGAAAAATAGAAAAAATCAATAAAACCAAAAGAGCAACAGAATGTACACTCTTCTAGATAGAACAGATCAGGAAAAAATAAATAAGATGCCAATGTTCAACATCAAGAATGGTAAAGGTGACACTGATGCAGATTCTATAGATACTAAAATGATCATAAGAGAACATTATGAACAATGAGATGCCACTAAGTTTGACAATGTAGATGAAACAGACAAAATATTAAAAAAAAAAAGCCCAGTACCAAAGCGCATGCAAGAAGAAATATACAACCTGAATCATTCTGTATTTGTTAAAGACATTGAACTTATTTAACTTTCCCACAAAGAAAACTTCAGTTCGACATGGCTTCACTAGTAAATTCTATCAAACTTTTAAGGAAGAAGTAATATCAATTTTATATAAACTCTTCCAGAAAAAAAGAAGGAAATATTTCCCATCTCATTCTATGAGGGCAGAATTATCTGATATCAAAGCCAGACAAAGATGACACAAGAAAACTACAAAACAACTTCTTTCATAAAAATAGATGCAAATATTAACAAAATCTTATTAAACTGAAACCAACAATACATAAAAAGGATAATACACCATTACCAAAGGAGTTTACTTTCAGGAATGTAAGGTTGGTTCAACATTCAAAAACCAATCAATATAACTCACCATATTAGTAGACTAAAAAAAAAAATCATGTGATTATCTCAACAGATGCATAAATAACATTTAACAAAATCAACATTTGTTCCTGAAAAAAACCTCCCAGAAATCTAGAAGTAGTTGGAACATCCTCAACCTGATGAAGGACATCTATGAAAAACTTAGAGCTAACAACATACCTGATAGTAAAATACTGAATGTTTTCCCCTTAAATTCAGGAATAAGGCAAGGATATCTGCCCTTGTTGCTTCTATACAACATTGTCCTGGAAGTTTTAGACAATGAACTAAGTCGAGAAATAGAAGTAATTACCTCTTACTCTATCAGTAAACCTACAACACTCCTGAATATGGCAATGATGTCAGTGAAAAAGTGTAAGATCAGCCTTCCCTTCCCATGCCTAATCTAGTCCAATAATCAACCTAACATTTGAAAATCTGATTTATTATCACTTGTCAATTTTCCTCTTGACGTCAAATTGTACACTTTGAGTAACAGAGTTCTAAAATCAGAGCCTCATGACTGCAATGATTCAGCCCTTTACATATATCACTTATATTATTTGTGTTAATTTCATAAGAGAGCTGTAACATTTTCCCCATCAATTTCAGCTGCAAATTGCAAATGAGACAAAGCCCTTTCACTTGCATATATATCATAACGTTGCTCACTGATTATACTAATATTTTTCAAATTTGATAATCACAGTCATTAAATGATGATCACTTTTTTCAATGAATTACAAAGATTAAAATTTGAAAAATAAAAAATAAAAGAGAGAAGTAAAAGGCAAACAGATTGGAAAGGAAGAAGTAAAACTGTCTTAGTTTGAAGACAACATGATTGTGTGTAAAATCCTACAGGATCATCCAAAAAGCTACTTTAGAGATAGCAAGGTGAAGGATAAAAGATCAATATATAAAAATCAATTATACTTTCTGTGAACCTAAAACTGCTCTAAAAATTGTATTAAAAAATCAACTGCATTTCTATAAAATAGCAGTGAATAATTCAGCATTGAAATTTTAAAAACACTATTTATAATAGCATCAAAAATATGAAATACTCTGATAAAATGTGTGCAAAATCTGTACACTAAAGAGATTTCTGGTCAAGATGGTGGAGTGGTAGGACCACGAGCTTGCCTCTCCTCTCGACTACAAAAAAACCATAACTGAATGCTAAACAACCATTGAAAAAAGACTGGAACCTAGCAAAGATCTTCTGCAAATGGAATCATAAGGAACCACAGCAGGACGGTAGGAGGGGCATGCTTGTGATATAATTGGGCCCCATATCTCTCGGGTGGGCGACCCGCAAGCTGGAGGTTTGTTAAGTCGCAGGAGCCCTCACACAGGACTGAGAACTCTAAGCCCCACGTCAGTCTCCCCAGCTCGGTCTCAGCATTGGAAGAGAAGGAGACCCCAGGACACCTGGTTTTGAAGGACAGGGGAACTTGGCTCTGGGACCCTCACAGGACTAGGGGAAATGGAGACTCCATTGGCTTGGGAAGCATACACGGAAACTCATGCGCACCAGGTCCAAGGGCAGAGGCAGTGATTTCATAGGAACCTGGGCCAGACCTGCCTGCTGGATTTGGAGAGTCTCCTGGGGACGTGGGGGAAGGCTTTGGCTCACTCAAGAGACATAAAAGCAGGTGGCAGACATT